CCTACTCCAGCCTTGACCTTGGCCTAACACTTTCCTGACCCACAAAATTCCTGTTTAACCAAGCCCTTTTTCCGCCACAGCGCATGACTTGACCCCTTAAGATCATGCGCGACCCCCACCACACATAAATAGGGCTTGTGCAATACCATCCTGTAAACCTAAATTAAACAAATCACATCCCACGTCAGATAGGTGCACTCCTCCAATTCCCGGTGACGAACTACTACACCCCCTATCCTATGAATGAAGCTAGCCATGGTCTTATTGACCTTACCCCGGCATCAGGCAACCACAGCCGAGTCCCTGGCGTGCCTCCACTTGCACCGAGGCACCATCTCAGACCACACCACTGTCACGCCAGGGACCAACCCCCTCAGCCGATCCACATCCCTCTTCATTCGCCTTAACAAAGCATGTAGCGGCACCAACCCGCAGGTCATTATCCCCGCCGTGAACTACTACCACATCAGGCACGCCCCCTCTGCCACCTTGTGAAATAATGCCATACTGATGTGCTGCCAGTCAAAACCCTGATAACCAAACCAAGATATTGCCACCTGCTCCAAAGGAAAGCCCAGCTGTGTTCCGTTCCTTCTAACTGCAGCCCTCTTCTGAGCCCAATAAATGTACGAATGTCCGATAATCCGTGCCGTCCAACCTGGAAGAGACAAAACAAAGATAAGCAGCGCACTCCCCCAGAACCATTGTTCCCCACTTCCTTGGGATCAAACCAACTTGTCCGGGCGCACGTATGTGCGGAACCGTAACGATTCCCAAAGACCAATATGCTTGATCCGCTCTTCCCCTAAACCCAGACGCGCAGCCTCCATGGCCGCCCAAATGCGGAATGAGTGCGTTCCAAATTGCAATGGCTCCAGGCCCATCTTTATTAACCCCAACCGAAATACCCTTGTAAACTGGAAGCGCGACAATGCTGTACCATCCGCGTGAATGAAGAAACATCCTTTGACCTGTGGACATAGCTCCATAAACCTGGCCCCACAAGCCACTGGGCACAACCCAGACCCTGGCAATTCGAACAGAGTAACCGCACAACCCTTCCAAACAACATCCGTCTTCGAACGGGCCAGCCGAATCCATACCCTGTCCGTACTTACCGCTATATCTTCGAATCTCAGTCCACCAACGCCCACTTTGTTGGCGCTAACCAATTCCCCTATCCGAAACGCCCCAAAAAAGGCCCACACAAACGCAGTCGTAAACAACGCCACCTCGAGTATGGAAAAACATATACCTGGTAACTTCTCCACCAGACCTTGCAGTACCTTAAACGAAACCGGTCTCCTTAAGTCTCGAGCCTTCTTACCTTTCCTAAAACCCCGCACCGCTTGCCTCACCATGAAATGTTTTGTAACATCTACCCAGCCCGAACTTATGTGCCACCCACTGAAAGACCTTCATTTTTTGGCCGCATCGCCCTGTCCCTGGTGGGCCGACGCACAGGAAGTCGTCAAGGTAGTGTACCACCGCACCCCCCGCCGACTCCTTCCGTACCACCCACTCTAGGAAGGTACTGAACCTCTCAAAATATGCGCATGAGATAGCGCAACCCATAGGCAGACATAGGTCCACAAAAAACTCCCCTTCGAAGTAACATCCTAAGAGGTGATTTCATTCCGGGTGTATGGGAGGCAGCCTAAATGCTGCTTCCACATCTACCTTTGCCATTAGTGCCCTGTGCCCTGCTCTCCGGACCAACTCAACAGCATTGTCGAATGATGTATAGGGTACAGAGCACAAGGCCACGTCGATGTCATCATTCACCGATGCCCCTGCCGGGTACGATAAGTGATGAATCAGGTGGAATTTGCCCGTTTCCTTCTTGGGGACCACCCCCAGCGGAGACACCCTACACTCTGACATTGGCGAAGCTGCAAACAGGCCCGCCATTCTCCTCAATCGTACCTCTTTCAGCAACTTCTCCCTAACCACCCCAGGATGCTCCAGCACAGACTTAAGATTCCCACGTACTATACCCGGACCCCTGTCCTGGAAAGGGATCATGAAACCATCCGGGAAGCCCCGCCACAAGAATCTAGCCACCTCCTGATTAGCGTATTGCCTTAGCCAGGGCAACATCGCGTCTATTTTCACTGGCGATGCCCCCCGCTGCAGGAGCGGAGGCTTCTGTCCCAGTGGTTCCCCCTGCTGTGTTAGGTTTACCCTTCTTGAAGCATCTGGAGATTCCATGGTTACCGCCGCAACCGGAGCACTCGTGCTTGAATCTACACGATGCTCCCCACTTGCACTGCCCTTCGTTGAAGAGCCAGCAAAACCCCTTCTTCTGTCCTGCCGATACGCTCCCGCTCGGGCCCGCGCCGGCCGCCCCGAGAAAGGGGGCACTTTTTTGTGCCATCATTAGCCTCATTGATAAAGGCAGGTCCATCTGGTCCCACCGCATAGATGGATTTGCTGCCAGACGCTGACGAAACTACTCGTCGTATCTCCACCATGCAAGTCCCCCGTAGGTCCTGTATGCATCCCCTATACCGTCCAAATAGCAAAAAAGCTGCGAGCAGCACTCTGAGCACTTTTCCCTGATCACGCTAGCTAATATGCCAAATGTCTTGGGTATCTTCCGATACTTACGCCTTTTCTCCTCCTCCTCTTTCTTTGCATCCTTCTTGTCCTCTTCCTTCAAATCCAAAAACTCCTCAAGGGGAAGGAGGGAAAATATTTCCACAAATTCCCCTCTTCCTATCCTTTCCTTAACCTCCACTTTCAAGTGACACCCCAGCGGTCCCGCGAAGGAAACATGCACGTTCTGCCGTGCTGCCTCTGATATATCCCCGCATCGGTCCCCTTGCGCACTTGCGCTGTCTGTCTTCCCCAAGACTGTATCCAGGGGACGCTCGTTCACTCCACCCGCTGCTACCCCTGCGGGTCCCATACCTAAACCGCTGTCCGCTGTCCATACCCTCCCGAATTGCACCCTCCCTGTATCCCCAGACCATGACTCCAACAGTGACTTCAAACACCCTAGCAAATTCCCTGAGTGTGGTGTAGGTGTTGACTCACCGACCGAGCCCCTGCCGGCAGATGGCCGCGGGGTTGCCGTCCTTCTGACTGCTGCGACCGGCTCCGGAGTATCCAGGGGACGCTGACACCTGCCCGCCTGGCCGTGTCCAACTCTTGTAGGCGTCACACTTCGTGACCTATAAGGAGAAGGTGACCTGGGTAGTCTGTTCGATTGTAGCCTCCCCCTCCCGTCACGTCTGCCTCCTGTCCTGTCATGCCAAGACCCCTTCCTGCACTCGGCCTGAGACCCTTGGTCACTCCTGGTCCCACTCCGCCTTGTGTCCTCCCTGCCATCCGACCCTGATTCCCTGTCCCTGGAGGCAGACATCCTCCCACCGTCCCGGCTCCGTGGAGTGCTCCTATCTCTGTTCCTGCTTCTCTCCGAGGATCCTCCTGAGCTGCCATGTCTATCCCTCTCACTGTCCGGAGGATCTCCGCCATCCCTCCTACTGTGGCTCCTCCTATTCCTCTGATCCTGGGAATGACCCCTTAAGGCCTCCCGTGCACATCCCACCTGGGAACCCCCGTCCTCATGGCCTCTCCCCTGGCTCTGTCTTGCCTGCGCCGTACTAGCCTTCCCGCTCACAAACTCTCTTGTGCCCCGTCTACCACTCTGCTCATGTTCGTCCCTCTGCGCACCTGTCCTTCCGCTGGGCCCGGGCACATTCCCACTCCTATGACTCTCATCCTCTCCTGCGTCCTCCTCCCTTGTCCTAGCCCCTGTAAGAGCTGCCTTGTCTTGCCCACCGCCTGCCTGGTCCCCAGCCCCACCTTGTGGGTCCGCTAGTCTGGCGCTGTCTGTACTTTTGTCTCCCACCTGTCCCTCAGTGTTGCCCCCAGGGGGTGACTCACCGGGACGCCGTGAAGCGTGCACTGCTCCCCCTCCGGTCTTCTGTGCTGGCTCCCGTCTGTGTGATCCTGCATCCATCTGGGCCATCCTCCCCCCGCCTGGCGGCAGGGGGCGCTCATTGCAGGGGGCCTCTTCCCGGCCCGCGATCTCACCTGACCGGCGCCGTGTTGGACAGGCGGCTCTGGCCGCCCCTCTCCTCCTCTCTGGCTTCCCGATCCGCCAGCCACTTCTCCCCTCGCTCCCGATGGGCTCCTCCTCCTCCGCGCCGCCGGCGCCGCACCCGGGCTGAGCCGCTGGGGCAGCCTCACCCTTCTCACCGGCCTCCGCACTGCTGCCACAAGGGGGGGAGCAAACGTGCTCGGAACCCCCAGCTGGTCCTGCAACCACACCAGACCCTTCTCCTGGACCACCGACCGGACGCCGCCATTATTTCTTCAAGGGAAGCCATGACCTGCAAAAAATAAGAGAGAAAGAGCCACGCTGACCTGCAACAACTCACAGGTAAGTGCAGCTCAAATTAAAATGGCCTAGACTTAAGATGGCTGCTATTTAACAGGCTATCTCTCCTCCCCACTCATTAACCTACACCCACCCCTTGACCTACAATTCACCTGCCAACTTTCTGGCCCTGTCAAGGCCCACTCCCCCCCGTGTTGCTCCGTGGGCTTCAACTCAATTGTTGAGAAGGAATGTCTTGCCATTAAGTGGGCGCTAGACTCTCTTAAATACTACCTATTGGGTAGAAAATTCCAATTGATAACAGACCATGCACCTCTTACGTGGATGTGTCAGAACAAAGAGAATAACTCCAGGGTAACCAGATGGTTCCTGAGTTTACAATCTTTTCATTTCACTGTCAACAGGGCAGGTCTAAGCTGATGGGCTTTCCAGGGTACACTCTCTGATGTCCATGGTCGCTCAAACCCATGGGTATAAGCTGGTGGGGGGGGGGGGTGAGAGAAACATAGAATGTGACCCATCCAGTGTGCCCAATTTTCTAAAATACTTTCATTAGTCTCTTATATCTAAGATAGCCTTATGTCTATCCCACACATGCTTAAACTCCTTCACTGTATTAACCTCTACCACTTCAGCTGGAAGGCTATTCCATGCATCCACTACCCTCTCAGTAAAGTAATACTTCCTGATATTATTTTTAAACCTTTGCCCCTCTAATTTAAGACTATGTCCTCTTGTTGTGGTAGTTTTTCTTCTTTTAAATATGGTCTCCTCCTTTACTGTGTTGATTCCCTTAATGTATTTAAATATTTCTATCATATCCCCCCTGTCTCGTCTTTCCTCCAAGATATACATGTTAAGATCCTTTAACCTGCTCTTGTAAGTTTTATCCTGCAACCCATGAACCAGTTTAGTAGCCCTTCTCTGAACCCTCTCTAAGGTATCAATATCCTTCTGGAGATACGGTCTCCAGTACTGCGTACAATACTCCAAGTGAGGTCTCACCAGTGTTCTGTACAATGGCATGAGCACTTCCCTCTTTCTACTGCTAATACCTCTCCCTATACAACCAAGCATTCTGCTAGCATTTCCTGCTGCTCTATTACATTGTCTGCCTACCTTTAAGTCATCAGAAATAATCACCCCTAAATCCCTTTCCTCAGATGTTGAGGTTAGGACTCCATCAAATATTCTGTAATCTGCCCTTGGGTTTTTACGTCCAAGATGCATTATCTTGCACTTATCCACATTAAATGTCAGTTGCCACAATTCTGACCATTTTTCTAGTTTACCTAAACCATTTTCCATTTGGCTTATCCCTCCTGGATATATAGTAGATAGTAGGCTATAGTAGATAGTAGGGTATAGGGGATAGTAGGGTATAGTAGATAATAGGGTATAGTAGATATTAAGTTATAGTAGACAGTAGAGTGTAGTAGATAGTAGGTTATAGTAGATATGTTATAGTAGATAGTATGTTATAGTGTAGGTTATAGTAGATAGTAGGTTTTAGTAAATAGTAGGGTATAGTGGATAGTGGGTTACAGTAGATAATAGGTAATAGTAGATTGTAGGTTATAGTAGATATTAAGTTATAGTAGACAGTAGAGTATAGTAGATAGTATGTTATAGTAAATAGTAGAGTATAGTAGATATTAAGTTATAGTAGATAGTAGGTTTTAGTAGATAGTTGGGTATAGTTGATAATAGGTATTAGTAGATTATAGGGTGTAACGGATCACCTGGCACCCCGACTGGGTACCTCCGTTGAAGGATGCTCCTAGCACTTCCTGAGGACTCCAAGCACTGCAGCAGACACCAAAACCACCGAACCGTAGGAGCATATGAATGCTGGAAACAGCCGAATAGGAAAAACCATGCAATTAGGTTTACACTCCTAGCAGTCAAACTGGAACAGCATACAATAAATCCTCCCCCAATAATGAGACGACACTTCACTTTGAGGGTTAAGCAGGAACTGGTTTACTGGGGCTAACTTCCTGGCTTTTATGCAGGTCTCCCACCTGGTGGACACTCCCCTAGGGGACCAAATGGGAAACTGGGAAACATATTGGCTCTTAGCCAATCACAGACATACACCTTTAAACACTCCCACAATTACATCACAATCCCTCCTCTCTGTCCTGGAGATAATTGGGAAGTTAATTGGGAAGTAATCCACTTATCTCCCAGGACAGAGGCAAAACTCCATTAACCACAATACAGTAAAAGACATAAAATTACATACAGCCACATTTATTACCTAAAACATATACATTCTACATATCCCCAGATAGCTTAGATCTGAGTGCACATTACTACCGAATGGCGCTCAGATCACACACATACAGTTCAATCGCCATGGAGCCAAAGTCTTTCATATAGTCTTTCAGTATACGGCTGAGCTCCATGGCATAGCTATCTGGGGTAGCATGGCTTTAACAGTCCGCAGAAAGGCATGAATAAACCTTTCTGCCGGTAAAATAAAAGTTTAAAATGCAGGACCATAGTCTAAAGGGAGCAGGCGAGCAACCAGGCCTCCAGTGGACAGTGGCGAGGTTGGTTCCTCCACATAGGGAATAGTAGATATTAAGTTATAGTAGATAGAGTATAGTAGATAGTAGGTTATAGTAGATATTATAGTATAGTAGGTTATAGTAGGTTATAATAGATAGTAGGTTACAGTAGATAGTAGAGTATAGTAGATAGTAAGTTATAGTAGATAGTAGGGTATAGAAGATATTAAGTTATCTAGATAGTAGGTTATAGTAGCTATTAAGTTATAGTATATAGTAGGTTATAGTACATAGTAGGGTATAGTAGATATTAAGTTATAGTATATAGTGGGTTATATTAGATAGTAGGTAGCTATAAATCGTAGATAATAGACAGTAAATAACAGTAACTGGATCCTATAATGTAAGCTAGTTAAATGTGTCGCAGCCATTGCTGTCCTAATGCAGTTAATGTGAACGATAATGCTTCGTTTTACTTTATGTATATTATATTAGACGGGCTCTTCCTATATACTTGACCGGTATATCTGTACTCACCCTTATAAGTACATTTCCAACAGAAATTATATTTAAAAAGCTGGATAAAAATGTTTTCCAATTTATTCTAATGTAAAAGTAATACAAACCAAACTCCTGTCCATTTGGGTTCTCTCAACAAGCTCAATAATATTTTGCTCAAAACATCTAAGAAGAGAATGTTCTCTAGTTGTAATTATAAGTAATGACTTAATTATAGAGTAAAATCAGCACCTGCGCACCTGTCTTCGGGAATGGTTATATTTACACACAGGTTAATGAGTGCTTTAAGCTATGAGAAAATGCTGAAACAAAAAGCTTCCGAGTGTTTTATTACGATTATTAAAGTAATGTTATTAAAGGCAATTCTAGTGAATGCTTTGTACAATTATTTAGGAGCCATTTCGAACCTGGTCTAGCTAAGACCACACATATCTCTGTCCACTCATTGTGTCCAGTTTACACTCCATCTGGAGTGCAGATTAACCAAGGCGGTGCTCGATAGATTAGTACAGTTCCTGATTCTATTGTTTGTGTATGGGAGTGTCTCACTGTATGACTCTGTTTTTATTGGTCTATTCACTTTGTGTCCCTGTGCCCAACAAGGTCCACCTGGGTGTCACCCTTGTTGGGAAACTTGCATAAAAGGCCAGCTGTGGCTTCCATTAAACACAATGCTTTACCCCTTCATGAAGTCTTGGCTCATGTTTGCGGGATTAGAGAACTACATATACATTGCTATATCACAATACTCCACTGAGTATAATCACTAGCTCTTCTAAGAGCTGTTCCTGCTACGCTCTCTGGGCTAGGAGAGGTCTACCCACTGGAAGCTGGATCCTGGTCTTGGGTCCAGGATGGGTGGAGGACAGCGAGACCCCAACCAAGCTGCGGCAGTTTGTGGGGTTTACGGTGGTTATGGTGTTCCTAGTACTTGGTGCCCGCAAGTACTAGGAAGCAGCGATTGATGGAGGCACCTGGTCAGGGTGCAAGGCTGTCCATCAGACACATAGATAATAAAACAACCACATTATCATAGCAACAAGATCAGCCAATCAGCATCGCTTCCATTGTGTAACAGGCAGAACCATGCAAATTACTTCCTCTTTCTTTGCTGCTCCCTTACTGTTCCCAAACTAAGGGATTGCTCTTATTTGTGTTGATATTAAGTCATTTTATGTCAATTATGTGGAGGATCGCTTGGCACCCTGACTGGGTACCTCTGCCAATTGCTGCTTCCTAGTGCTTACCAAGTACCACAAGCACCACACCAGACACCATAACCAACATCATCCCCGCAGCCAGCGTTACAGCTTGGTTGGGGTCTCACTGTCCTCCACCCACCCTGGACCCAAGACCGGGATCCAGCTTCCAGTGGGTAGATCTCTTCTTCTCCAGAGAGTATAACAGGATATCTCTTACAAGAGCTACTGATTATAATCCAAGGGAGTATAGTGATTATAGCAATCCCCAAAGTTCCCTCCAAGCATTAGACGAGGCTCTATCTTGAGGGTGAAGGAGAACTGGTTTAATGGCAGCCACAACTGGCCTTATATGCAGGTCCCCATTCAAGAGGTTTACTATAACATATTCCATGGGCATTCCCTACTGGACCAGAGAGGGGACTATGGCAAAGTACACACTGTAATTACATTTGCTCTCAGGTCCAGGACACTTCCACACAAAACAGGGTAATTCCTCCCCTGTGCCTGAGAGATAATTACTTGAGTACACAAACATATAATTAAATTATCTCTCAGTACAAGAAACATGCAATACAACAACACCCCAAAAGTACTAAAACACATGGAAACCCAACAAAAGTCATATCCCCTGATAGCCCCGATCTGGGGGACCAACATATCAAAAAATCACCCTGAGGTTCGGGATTTCCATGGAAGTCCATTTTGTCTGACTGTGCACATGGTCCTATGCCCAAAACAGTTAAATGTGATCAGGGTTAACGGTCGGTCTCTTTCTGGAGTACAAAAGTACATAAATCCCATTAACAGAGACTTTTAAAGGGCATTTGGCAAGGTTTATTGCAGGGCCCATAGTCCTGAGGCAGGAGGCTGGCAAGCAGTCCCCTCCAAGAACATGTGGCAGAGGCATTTTTGCCACAAATTAATTTATCAGTTTATTGTTATTTAGTGTTTTTTTCTAATAATGTTAATTTCATCTTGCTGTTTGTATGTGTGGGTTCTGCCCTATCTGCTTTATCCCAGATCCCTGTTGCTGCTCTATGCATTTCCGAGATGCTTCAGGGTCTATTTGACAATGGAGCTCTTCTATCTGCTTTTTCTGCTGTGGACTCAAGCACATTTTAGGCATTTTCCCTTCTGAGCTGCTTACTCCTGGGTGTTTGAGTGCTTTGCCGAGCTCTGCTCCGTCTCTCCTCTCCATTTCTAAGGCCATTGAGTATTTTACAAACATGAACATTAAATCACCTCTAATTCAGTCTGTCTGAATGCACACATAGATGCATTTATCTAAATGTTTTGTCGGCTAGAACGAGCACTTGAAGCAACTGCTTATGTATTCACTTGGCTGTTCAGCTCGAGTGAACGCATCTTCAAACACCTCTATTGAGCTGGCGGTCATCTTTTTGGTCCCTTCGTGGCAGCATTTTTTCAGAGTTTGCATTCTTTTTATGGCCCTGCCCACATACTGCCCTGCATCTGAATTAGTGCTAGTAGAGGTGTTCAGACAGCTCTTACTTTTACCCTTTCTCTTCTCCCTTTTCTCCATCTTCCCAATTACTCCCCGGGGGCCTTTTCCATATGGAGTCTGACGATTCTCTGAGGAAATGTAAGCGGGTGAGA